TAGGCTTAATACCACCTTTAATGTTGATTCAGGATGTTGTCACTCGTTGGAATTCAACATATGAGATGTTTCAGCGTATTCTAGATCTTAAAGTTCCTCTATCATCAGTATTAGTTGATTGCCATTATGATGCTTATTTGTCCAATAATGACTGGCTAATTATTTCAAAAACATGTGAGATATTAAAATATTTTAATGAAATAACAGTAGAAATAAGTAGTGAGAAATGTGTTTCTATTTCAAAATCTATTGTATTTAGTCGAGCACTACTTAAGTATTGTACTCATTTGGAAAATCAGTCATATGATTCACTGCAATTAACAAATATGGTTTCAAAATTAAATCAACAAGTACAACAATGATTTGGATCACTTGAAAAAATACAAATTTCGGCAGAAGCCACGATTCTTGATCCAAGATTTAAAAAATTTGGATTTTTTAGTGAAAGAGCATTTTTAGAAGGAAAAAAAACATTAATTAATAAAGCTACATCGATACGGATTGAAAATAATATACCAATTGTGACACAAAATCAACCTTCTGTTACTGGAGGAGATTCTATTTGGAACGATTTTGATGAAGAAGTAGGTAGTCAACTGATATCTACAAATCCAACTTCTGCAGCTATCATTGAAATTGATAAATACCTTCAAGAAGGGTCAATTCCAAGAAATAAAAACATTTTAAAATGGTGGAAAGACAACCAAAATGTATATCCACATTTGTTTGAACTGATGAAAAAACACCACTGCGTATTAGCTACATCAGTGCCCTGCGAACGAATATTTTCTAAAGCAGGGCAAATTATAACTGAAAAAAGAAGTAGGTTAATAAGTAAAAACTTTGAAAAAATGATATTTCTTAATTTTAATTCTACATAATGTTTTTTTTAAATATTTAATTATATGACTGTAGTTCTAAATATTTTGAATACCTATTTTAAAACTTTTATGATATCTTTATTTTTTCTGAATTAATTTTATTTCCTAGGTTTGGAAACATTGTTTTTGTATATAGAAACTTTATTGTAGGTTTACTTACTTCAAGTTATTGAGTATTTGTTTTATGTTTGTTGTTGATATAACAGGTTCTAGAACATGAATAAATTAATATTATTTATGATTATATAAATACATTTTTCATTATTAGTAAATATAAAAATTTTAAATTAATATATAATATTAATATGAAGCACATTTGGTAATATTATCACCTATATATAATAATTATTACCATAATGTTTGTTTCAATATCAATTAAGAATTCCAATTTAGAATACAAACATTAGTCGGTATAGATATTTTCAAAATATTTTTATTTATGGAAATAATTTTTTTTTCTTGTTACTTAACAACTGTAATTTCATTTCAGGTAATACTTTTTTGAATATTGTAGAATTATAATTTAAAATGATAATTTAAAAAATCAATCATTAATCTCAATTTAAATGTTATAACTTTTAAGTAATAATAACACTCACCCTTGATGAGTTGATGTAGACTTAAAATGTTGAAATTAAATTTAAATTGAATTATATTTAAGTTACAATTTGCACAAATTCACATAACACTAATGGTAATAAGTAATATCAGTTATCGCTGGATCATGAAGAGTTATTATCAAATAAAATATTAAATAACCTATAAGGAATGATTAACCTTGATGAAGAATCGAATCACAATTCACATGATTCAGAATTAATTGAAAAGACGTTCTAAACTAAATTCAATTCTTAGTAGTTCACACTGAGTCATTGAGTCACAGTACTATGGCACACTGATTCAACTCACTCAGTTCACCTAAAAGAGTCAACTCTTTCAGTTGACTCACTCACGAACTACCCATCTCTATTAGTTTATGATGTTCAGGTTAAGGTATAAGGTTAGTTTATAACTTAAATGCCCATAATTAGTGTGAATTACTACTGAACTGTGTACTGCTGTACTAATATGTACTAATAAATGAATAGTTCATTGCCAAACAATATCAGTATGATCAATAAAATTAGTGAACTTAAGAATAGTTCATTTGAACTATTCACAGATATGAACTAAACTTTCCATCTCTAGTACATAGGTTTTTTCTAATATTTAAAATAGAAGTGAAAAATGATTCGCTTAAGTATAGACGAATAATAATAGTGGCAAAAAGCGCATTATCGCATTACGGCATGCTATTCGTATCGACTGTATGTTTTTATTTGATCCGACGAACATAATGGTACTGAAAAATAATTTATTTTAATTCTCCCTCAATATATAAGTTCTATAGATTCTAAGTTTCAAAGAAATTTTTTTATTGCAAAAATAATCTTATCAATAATTGATTCATTATACTTTGGCGGACACGGGCATAAAAATCCTTTTCTAAAAAATTATAAAATAATCATAATAACCTATATTTGTCACTCAGTTCTTTGGATATTAACCACAAAAATTAAAGGACGGTGTATAAGTTAGGAAAAACTATATCACAAAAAAATTATCTTTATTTTCTTTAAATAAATGTGGTAAACTGGGTTTTCTACGTCCAATTTGCCCACGCGGATGAGTGTAATCGAGAAGAGTCAAAATAATAACTATAATGTAACATTCATCGATTGTACACTGACCACCGAGTGAGTGGTCAGGTCCCTTTTTATTAGAAATAATAATCAATTAACAATGCTTCTAGTGTTATACTTTCTAATGCAATTAATAATAATCTATTATTTACTTTTACTTTCTAATAATACAAATTCCTTAAAACTAATATTTCATGACACCATCACCCTTAAAGAGAAATAATATCTTCAGATATTATTTCTTACAATTTTAAAATATATTATTTATTATATTTAATTAAAATACAGATAATTTTATGTTAAATTTTCTAATAACCTACGTCTAAATCTAGTATTATAAATAAATCGTTCTTGTCTATTTACAATTGGATTTTCTTCTAAGTTTAAAGGTTCTAATTCTATTGTGGGTTGGTTATTAACAGGTTTTTTCTTACAATATTTTATATAAATATATACAATTACTACCACTAATGGTAATCCGAAGGTTTTAAAAAGTAAATTTATTATAAACTTATTATCGTTATAAAATTCGTAACGTGTTTGTTTGCTAATAAGTCGACGATGCGTTCTTGGTAAGATAATTGTTCATTTAATTTATTAAGGGCTGGCTGGTCGAGTTTCACATTTTCCATTCTTTCGAGGTGTATGGGTTTTTGTGCAATTCTATTATGTATATAATTGCAACAACTTGAGTCCAATAGACTAAACTCCAAAGGTATCGACTCAAATTTTGATTCTAATTGAGACTGAGTAGCCTCAAGAGTAACTGATGGTGTTATTGCCATGCAGTTCTCTTTTAGGGATAGCATTCCACTTTTATTTATAATTATTTTTTCAACTATAGTGTGTGCATTGCATGATATAGTTACTACGGTATCCTTTACCATGACAAAATACCAATTATTTGGGAAGTAGGAGTGATACCAACTTTCCGAGCTAAGTTGTGATATATAAACATCACAAGTCGACGGCAGGCTATA